TATATATATATATATATATATATACATATATATGTAATATATATATACATATATATATTACATATATTTAAGAAATCGAAACATAATGTATGTTGTATGTTCTCTGGAATGTACCCTACGTTTTACTTTCTCTGCTCTATTTCACAGAAGTTGCTCGATCAATTTCCCGGTCGAATAATCACGGCTGAGCTGCCGAAACTCCCACGACCAGAAATCGGTAGGATTGTGCCCAGTCAAGTGTTCGGTAAGCAAACGGTGTTCCATCCGGTCATGGAACGGACGAGAGAGACAATGTCTACGCCAGAAGTCGTTAAACGCATCCAGAGACATATTCTCGAGCACCGCATACGGATCTACGAGTTCTTCAAGGTTGCCGCAATCCAATTACGTCGCGCGTCTAATTAGCGTTATCATCACGTATGCTGAAATCTCATATACGCGCGGATTAATCAATTTGTTATCGCGCGTAACGATCGGCTTGTCATTATCGTTCGTTATCGTGTCCTCCTGTTATGTCGCACAAGCGTGATCTTAACAGGGCTTAAGAACTAAAATTGATTAAGAACGTTAAGAACTAAGCGATTTGGACCGTAGGGTTTCGAATATTTGAATGTCGCTCGAGTGACAGTCCCGCAATTTCGAAGAGCACTGGACGCGCTTCAGATATCGTCCTTGGGCCGTCTCTGGCTGCTCGAACCGGAAGTTGATGCCCTGATTGCGCTTTACAAGGATCCGGATGATCCCGATCGTGTGTGTTGGCGCATGTTTGAGGATGATATAGATCGGGGTACAATATCATATATTATAATAAAAGTTCTATATATTCTGAGAACAGAGAAGCTTCTCTTGCTTCAATTATAGAATCTTTCTTTTGGAAGAGATAAAATGTTTTTTCGAAATTAACTTTTTTATAACAATATTTAGATTATTTATTACATTTAAAAAATGGAATAATGAAATAAAAATAACTTGATTTAATTGAGAATATAATAAAATTAAAAGATAACAAACAAACAAAATTTTCAAAGAGCACTTTTTGGAATAAGAAAACTGAGAGACCGTTTTTTAATGTAATAAATATTTTTTGATGTAATAAATAATCTAAATATTGTTGTAAAAAGATTGATTTTGAAAAAACATTTTATCTTTTTAAAATAATAAATTAGATATGTTGGCTTGAAATAAAATATTTTGTACAAAGCTATAGCTAGTTTTAGCTAGTTATAACTAATGAATTTTCAAAACGTATTCTTTTGTTTAATGCTTTTATTAATAATAAAAATATACGCTTTATGATTTCAGTATATTTTTTTCTTATTATGCTATTTTCTCTTTATGCTACCGTTTCCTCATATATTTTACTACTTTAATGGATCTATCATGATTTAGTTTTCACCGTGAAGAGACTTGACAAATTGCCAAGCCTAAAAGTGGAATCACCGCCTCAAGAAATAGTTGAACTACCTCGAAGGGGCACATCAAATTGGCAATGCCAGCCGAAAAATATGAGAGATTTTTGTGAAGATATCTTGCAGCGTGTAAGACAGCGAGTCGAAGAGAGGAGAATTCTCTTAAAACAATTTTTCAAGGACTACGACAAGTATATTTATCTTTAAATAATTGTTAATTGTTAATTATAATTTAATTGTTAATTAAATGGCTTATTTTGACAATGGCACAAAAAATTTAAACAAAGGACATATCCAATACCTAAATTGTAATTAAGTAACAAAGAAACCAATTTTATTATAACTAACATGTAATAAATTTATTTGATATAATCATATATACTTTTAGGATATAAATATGAAAATAATTGTTAAATTAAAATTGCTTTAAAAAATCGTCCTGTTGATTACTCAATAGCAATTAATTTGCATTTTACGATTAAAACATTTTGTTAATAATTTGCCATCTGAATAAAATATATTATTAATTAAAATACGTCATTAATGATATCAAAGAGATATTAATAATTTTTAAACTAATTGAATTGTACTATCAGACACAATTGCGGTCACGTGACGCGAGCTCAATTAAGACAAGTCCTTATTACGGCCACCATACTCTTGTCGCCGGAGGAAGTGTTCGCTCTGGAGCAAAGGTACAACGATGATCTAGGCTTCAACTACACTCAATTTCTGCAGGAATTGGAAGTCCAACCGATCGTAGAGCCCTTGTATCGTCGCATGTTGGAGGATAAAAAGAGGCTTAACGCTGAAAAGCCGCCGTCTGAACCTCACGAGGATGAGACTAACATCGTATTAATCTTGGCTAAAATTAAAGCCAAAGTTGTGCGCGAAAGAATCAAAGTAATTTACATTTGTCGTTAATTAATTAAGAAAATCAATTGAGTCAGAATTGATTTGCCAATCTTTTTTTGCACGCAGGTCCTTGAATTCATGCGCCAATTCGATAGGCACAACCAGCTTGTCATTGCGAGACTTGATTTTATCAGAGGTCTAGATCAGCTTCGTTGTGGTTTGACAACTGCGGAAGTAGATACGATTACGAGAGTTTTTCAGGCGCTTCTAAAGTACGAAGATGTTATAATATTAAAAATAAGAATGATTAATTTGGAAAAATAAAATTAGTTAACACAAATAATTGAAAATAAATGTAGAAATAGACGTAATGACAAAAAAGAGAAAATAATACTCTAATCTGTTAAAATCCTAAGCAAATTTTATTTTCCGAATTATTTAATACTTTTTTTTTTATAAGAATTGTGTAATTTTATAAAATCGCAACTGTTGTCAAGAGAATATATATTTTTTCTTTAACTTCACGTTCTTATCATGACTATCGTGTTCCTTTCTGAAGACCCGGCTTCGTTGAATATACAAAATTTGCGGCAGTTGTGGAAGAAGCCGTTACGACGGGGGGTTTGGAAAAAGTTCCGCTTGTGGTCCCCTTGCAACACGTGCCCTCCGAGGCAAGCGGCAGAACCTTTTTAAATTTCGACGAACGACAGATGGTAGCAATCGCGATGGATAAACTGTGCCAAATGCGAAATCCGAATCTGGAGGAGATTTTCAAAGTGAGTGCAGCTGCGATAAATTATAATGCAACATACACGGTGTAATCAATATGAAGACACGCAATTATTTATTTTTCAAAATGTCTTGTTTTTTTCTACGAGAAAAAGTAGCAACGATTTAGTAAATTGTACGTTCTTCAGGACTACGATAAGGAGAATACCGGCACGGTTTCCAAGGGACATTTGATCAGTACATTGTCGGTTAGAAGGATGCTAGAGCTTATCAATAGCAGAGAGTTGGACGCCTTACATAAGGGCTTCTCCATTGAAAAATACGGCCGCTTGGAGTTCGACTATCGGGCCTTTCTGCGCGCTCTGCACCTGTTACAAGAGAACAAAAAGATCGTGCCCTTTTAGAAGACGCAGCTGATCCGGTTGTAGATGCAAAAACTGAGAAAACTTTCCTTGCTGTTACTTTTAATTTATAGTCGTTAAGTAATTTAAGTAGAATTGTTATGCAGTCGTAACAAGTGACGTTTTAAATCTCACGTTTTTAAGTATTTACATGTCACGTAGAGAGAAACAATTGTCTAATTTTTTTAGATACTTTTTATATATTAATTTTAATATTCTTACATAATTTTGAGGTGCTGTGAAAATTATACGTACCTTTTAATAAACTAAAAATATCTTTAAGAAACTTTTCAAGATTATTGGTTCAGCTAGAGTCTAGAGCCTTAAGGGGATGCTGGAGCCGTCTGTTTTACCGGCATTTTTTGTCGGCACGTAGCGTCGTATTAATTTGACAGAATTAAAAATCCTTCTCCAGAATTGCAGTACATACATTAATGATTCGGGGAAACTCCGATTTTATATAGAAAACGAGAAAAAATTACGGAAGTACAGATTTCCTTATCCTACTCTTATCCCAATATGGCGTCTCGAGTTGCGGCGAGCTGTCAGCTCGTCACAAGATGTATTTCATATAAGAGATATACCATTGGTACGAACGCGAAAACAAGTTTCCCCGAATTGCACAACAAGAAAAACATCGATAAACCCCCCAAATCAAGATTTGGAAGCGTAATATAAAAGTATAATGTCGGTGTGCATCGTGCGTATGTGTGCGTGCAATGTAGCGTGCTATCCTTGTCTATGGCTGCATTCGAGGAGCGCGCTATTAGCGCTATTGCATCATTCTGTCTTTATCGCTCATCAGGTGTAAAACAAGGATAGAACAAGCAAATAGCGCTAATAGCGCGCTCCCCGAATCCAGCCTATATCTTTGTCTATACAAGGACAGATATAGTTCGCCGGTCTTCTTTATCGACGCCGATCGAGTTCGGCTACGGCTCCAGCATCCCCTTAAGGGGGTTGTCGTGCTGAAATATCAGCAAAAAGTATAAACGCGCGCTTACGGTTCTCCGCGTATTCCCCTTCTCCACTTTAAAGACTGGATTTTCTAGAGCAACTGTACACGCACACATAGACGTGGCCTGTCCATGTACTCTCTCCGCGCACGCGTGTAAAAAATTTCGGATTTGGCAACGCTGCGTAAATTGACGTTTAGAAAAAATGTCTGGAAAACCGCGTTCAAAACGTGGAAGGTTCGTTTCAAAGAAAAAGGCTGAACGAGTGAAAAAAGCTGTAGAAAATAGCGTAGCAGCCAGAAAAAGCAAAACCAATAAAAGTACCAGGCAAGAAAGCGATGATGAGGGGAATCATATTGTTAACCTTAAAAGTATGGGCCAAGCACTACACTGCTGTGCTTGCAAAGAAGTTTTGAGTTTAGATAATATAAATAATGAAGTGCGCAAAGGACTTTTCTCAATACTTCATATTAAGTGCCATAAATGTGGAATTCAAAATGAGGTTAACACTGGTAAGAAAGTTGACTTAGATGGCCACTGTTACACAAATGTGAATCTTCAAGCTGTCCTTGGTAAGATATGAGTTTTTGCTTGCAATTAATTATAACAAATTTTTCTGTTTTATTTAATAATATTTTATGTTATCACTAATAATAAAAAAATTTGTTTGTAGGTGCGATGCATTCTGGTCTTGGATGTACTGGTTTGAACAAAATTCTTGCATGCCTCAATATTCCAGTCATAACAATGGATATGTTCAAAAGATATGAAAGAAAAGTCGGATTAGCCATCGAAAAAGCAGCTGTAGAAAGTTGCCAAAAAGCAGCGTTAGAAGAAAGGCACCTTGTGATAAAGAACACTCAAGAGCTTTGTGATAATTTGTAAGAATTATCATTTTTTTTGTATGAGAATATTTGTAAATTTTATATGCACATTTTTGAATATTCTTTTGGTTAATTGAATTATATATTTATACTGAATTGTAGCTGCGATTTAACTTTTCAATTGTATATTGAATTGTATATTATTGCTTAATTTATAATACATCAATAATGGATTGATATTTAGCTGGGATGAACCTTTATATTTTATATTTAATTGAATTTATGTATTTTACTTGTCATTAAAAAATAAAAACAAACATTACTTAGATTTAAAAAAATAAACATGATTTTTTTCCTTAATATATAGCCATAATTCAAATACGGTTTTTATTTTATTTATAGACCAGCCGACATTGTTCGCGATCTTTATCCTTACCTAACGATTCTTCAATCCTCTAATCAAAGAAGTCCTGAATTTGACCAAGCATGCAGTAGTATTGTAAACATCATAGTTTCGTACGACATGGGCTGGAGTAAAAGAGGCAACGGTCGCAGTTATGACAGTCTGAATGGTTATGCAGCAATAATTGGATTTTTAAGTCATAAAGTTTTAGATTATACAACACGAAATCGCAAGTGTTACAAATGTGATATAGGACATTCGAAAGATGACCACGATTGTCGAGAGAATTTTGAAGGCAGTGCAAAAGCGATGGAAGCGGACGCCGGAGCGCAATTGATCAATCGAAGTAAAATTCTTCAAGAAAATAATTTAAATGTTGGAGTTTTGATTGGTGACGAAGATAGTAGTACGATTGCCGCAATACGAAAAGAAAGTGGCAAAGTCATTCATAAATTGGCCGATAAAAATCATTTAGTTAAAAATTTTGTAAGTGAATTGTACACACTATCGAATTCCTTCAAAGAATTAAAAAAAAGTGGTGTTATAAATCATTTAAAAAAATGTTTCACGTACGCGATTGCTCAACAAAAAGGACGAACTGCAGACCTTGCTTCTGCAATAAGAAACATCCCGGATCATGTATATAATAGTCACGAGAATTGTGGCGAGTGGTGTAAGCGATGTGACGATAACACACAGCAAACTATTGTATTGAAAGATGAAAGTTTATATTTAAGTCTTCGAGAATTATTCGAAAAATATGCAAATAATGCTGCAAAATTTAGCGTTGTCGCATCCAGTCAGGCAAATGAAAGCCTAAATAGCATGATAGCTTGTAAAGCACCAAAGATGAGATGTTACAGTAAATCGCAGTCTGCGGATTTTAGAGTCGCTAGTGCTGTTTTAAGTAAAAATGAAGGTGATCAAGGAATAATAAGGGTTACAGAATTATTAGGTTTACAAGCAGGTAAATATACATCAGCATATTGCCTAAGAAGTGATAAACTTAGAATAATAAAGTCATCTAGAAAAGTTACGAGAGAGTCGAAATTGAGGCGTATTCAGTTAGCAGCAAACAGACAAAATTTACGAAAGAAAAAAGAAAGAAGAGAAGGTATTACATATAAGACTAACTGTGGGATAGAGATGACGAGCGAAAAAATAAGCATTGAAGAAAAGGTTGATGATAGAAGTACAAATAATACGACTAAAATAATTTATTTTGATTTAGAAACAGCAGGCTTTGAAATAGAAAGTGATATATTACAAATAGCAGCAATATCCGAAGCTTTTGAATTTAATGTATACATTTTACCTAGTCAAGCGATTCCTATTCATGTAACCAAAATCAATTCTTTACATAATAAAAATGGAGATTTATATTTCAAGAATAAAAAAGTTGATGCCGTTACGCTTGAAAATGCATTACTCGCGTTCTCAGAGTTTATAAATATTGTATCTCCATCTTGTTTGCTTGTTGCGCACAATGCTCGTTTTGATGTTCCTCGATTACTAAATGCAATTACAAACTGTAAAATCCAAGACAGGTTTCAAATTGTAACTGGGTTTTCAGATACGTTAAAATTGTTTAAAACAGTGTATCCATTCCGTAAAGGCCCAGGTGCCTTCAAATTAATCAATTTAGCACAAGATCTGCTTGAAACTCAGAGTCCTGGATTTTTCCATGAAGCTTTATTTGACGTTCGTGTATTACAACAACTTGTAAAGGTTACTTCCAAAGAAACAGACTTATTCATTTTTGAAAAGAAGTTTGAGAAAGCAATCGAAGAAAACAAAATCAACAAAATTATCAATCATAAAGTATTGGAATTGGCTCCTTTTAAAAACATCGTTTCTCGTGATATAATTAAAAAAATAGCTGTCGCAGGGATAACATTCCAAAATTTAAAATCAAAATTTTCAAATGAAGGAGAAGATGAAGTAATCAAGTTTCTTTCCAAATGTGATAGTAGCCGTAAGCCTCTAGTAACTAAGAATAAAAAAGTTCTGACGAAAATAATTGGTTGTTTAAAAATATGTTAAATGTTTATAAATAATATTTTTAAATGTTTTTAAATGTTTATAAATAAAAATATTAATATATTATTTATTGTAAAACTACTCTGGTATATTTATTTGATATCCTCATCTTTTCATGCACTCATATTTTATTCGAATTATTCGTTAATACTCGTAATAACCTAATGTTACTATAAATCAATTCAACAAAAAGATTTCTATTGCATAAATCTCCTCAATTTTCATTTATGTAGCCAGCAAAATCCGGAATTCGTCAATTCATAATGTTATTGACAAACGAAAAAAAAATATATTTCGTCGGTACACACTATACTCAAAGAGTATAGTGTGATTTACGCGCAATGTCTGCTGGGCCGCCAACGTTGCCACGTCACCACAGCACTTCTCTTTGCGCATTTTTCAGGCATCATGATAACGTACTTTTACTTATAATATCTCAACAACGAATATGGATTGCTCTATACGAGTTTCTGCTATTCGATATTATTGAATATCATTAATAACATATTAGTTTTTCAAAACAATGACAGTTTTGGTGGAGATGTTATAAGCGAAAATGTGGCTCTCGCGGCGACCTTTCCATAAAAGCCCATGTTAAAAAGCGCAACTTCCACAATGAATATCTCGAAAACGAATATGGATTGTCTATCTCAAATTTGGAGACGTAATGTATGTAAGGTTTATTAATACATACGCGCAGTCTAGAGAAATCGACAATATTTTTATATTTCACGACAACCCCCTTAATTGCATGATGATGTAATGTGAATTACTTTTTTATAAACACTTTTTTATAAATACAACATTTATGCTGCAAAGAATTAATATGGCATAAAACATGCCTTCGACACGGTGTCTCAGAAATATTTCAACAATAAAAACGGCGATGCGAGTCAAGCGCGGAACATGGTGCGCAATAAAGTTAAGACGTGTATTTACATGAAATGAACGTTTCGGCTCGTCCCTTGAGCCATCTTCAGCATTTATTAACAAAAGAATGAATCTATTCCTGCGGGGATCGAAGCAGCAATCTCTCTTCCTGAAGAGATGTCGTGATAAGCGAGCAAGTAAACCCGATCATGATGGACATTCCACTAAAATCGAAAGAATGTATGTTTATCGTTAAAAGAGAGGAGTAAAGAGAAAGCTCACCTCAAACTCCGCAGTAGTCGAAACAAGTACAATACTAAAAAGTCGTAGCAATACAATATGAATCCAGAGAGTAGCACATCTCTGAAATAAAGTAAGAACATTGCAGTCAGTGTACAGTTAGGCTGGATTCGGGGAGCGCGCTATTAGCGCTATTTGCTTATTCTATCCTTGTTTTACACCTGATGAGCGATAAAGACAGAATGATGCAATAGCGCTAATAGCGCGCTCTTCGAATGCAGCCTTAAAGTCGAAGTGAAAAGAAGGACGCAAAGTATATAGGTCGGAGCCGTTATCGTAAACAATATGTAACCAACCAAGGAAAAACGAAGGCTAAACATTGCTTACGATAGGTAGGTAAGCGTGGTGCAAAAATTCGGTATCTGATTGGAGATTTAAGCCGAGACGTTGTTGACTAATATACAAAACCTCCGAGACGAGACGCTTATGATAAAATCTTTCGTGATCCAAGATCTCAACGTTATCCCAATTAAAGTCGTGATCATACTGAGTTCTATGATCAGTAATCACAGAGTGGGAAGAACTATGTCTGTTGATGTGGAGACGATGTTCGGAGACGGAATTCTGGTTTTTAGTTGTCTCCCAGTTTGTCCCACGTATGATGCGTCACAATCTTTTGGCAGCGAATCTTGTAGACCACGGCTGGATTCGGGGAGCGCGCTATTAGCGCTATTTGCTTGTTCTATCCTTGTTTTACACCTGATGAGCGATAAAGACAGAATGATGCAATAGCGCTAATAGCGCGCTCCTCGAATGCAGCCCACGTTACTCGTTGAGAAACGCGAAAGGGGATTCTTATTTTGAACCTTGATAAATTTATTTAATTTATTCATGCTGTAGTAAGATAAATGAGTGTCTGAATCTCTGAAAATATCTTTAAATGTAATAGAAATTGACGGAACAAACAGAACGGTAAACCATTTTTTGAAGGCGGCGTCGTCCAAAGTATCATTCAGATCTTGTTTTTTTGTTTGTTTAAAAAAGAGGCTTTTTAGACGTTCATGAATTGTGTTGAAAATAAGGTTTAGAGGGTAATCATTGTTCAGAAGGATATCAACAACAAATCTCAAATTTTTTTCGTGAAACCTTGGATGAGAAAGCAAAAAGGCTCGGTCGATAAGTCCTATAATGGTACCACGCTTTTGAGACGAGGGGTGACAAGAATTATAGTTTAAGTATCGACCCGAAAAGGTGGGATTATGATACCAATCGAATTCGATAAGACCATTGTTGTTGATAATGGTGGTATCAAGAAAATTGAGTTTGTTGTTACCGACCTCTATGGTAAACTGCAAACGTGGATGGAAAGAGTTGAAAGTTTGTAAAGTAAATTCGACCATATCGGAGGGTATGGCCATCGCAATGTCATCCACGTATCTATATAAAAACGGTAGAGAGAAACCAAGAATTCTAATAGCCCTCGTCTCAATATCCTGTAGAACTAAATCAGCAAGGTCGGGAGACAACGGAGAGCCCATGGGAGAACCAAAATTCTGTTTATAAATATTATTGTTGAATTTGAAAAGTGTAATAGAGTCATAGAATGAGTCGTACCGCGAGAACGAATTCATCCTTAGGGATATCGCAATTTTTTGAAATATGTTCCTATCTGTTGCAAATACTGTCCATAGCTAGATCAGTAGGGACGTTT